AGAGTTGACAACAATTTTATCAAAATATGTTTCATTGGGAAAACATGTATTGCAGCCTAATATTGAGCAAGATGTCATAACATCTTGACCAACTGGTACAACTGAGTCTGCTGGTACTTATTTCACAGATGTTCTATCAGATGTTGTAATATGTTACAACAGAACATCATGACAGTACAGCTGTATAATATCTTTGAAGATTTGATTGAAAATTATGAGATTCTTGAGGTTTTTAGTACTTATAACAGGCGCAACTAATCAAGAATTTTTAGGAACAATTGCAGATTTGATTTGTTTCATAAAAAGGATCTTTGAGACATTTTAAGAAATATTTGAAAGATTTGTTTTTTGTTTATATTTTTATGAAGAAGATTCTGCAAGGATTTAGAGCTGAAGATTGGATTTGATTGAAGAGTCCAAGCCTAACTAGAAGTCTATATAAGGAGACGTCTAAGACCTAGTTTTTAAGAAGCATAGTTTTATTGTAAAACCTTGTGAAAAATAAGGATTTAGGGTTTGAGAGTTCATTAGTTTCTCTGTGTATTTTTGTATGTTCTCATGTATCTTTTGATGAATTTGAGTTGAATAATTGTTACTTGTTTATCAAGTTATTGTTCTCCTCTAAGCTTTTAAGCAAAAAGTTGAGTATTGTTCTTAGTAAAACTTTTAAGCAAACTATGTATTTGTTTATTGAAAGTGTAATATTCTTTTTGGTTTCTTGAGACATTCCTGTGATTGAGATTGTTTGATATCACTGCAGTTATTGGGAGTGAGAGGGGTTCTCATATCTAGGAGGTTCCTAGGTAGAAATTGCATTGAATAAGGATTAAGTGAGAAGTGTAAACTGGGATTGCTTAGCTTCAAATTGATACTATTGATAGTGGATTTCCTTCCTTGCTTGGTAGCCTCCAGAGTAGGTGAGTTGCACCGAACTGGGTTAACAATTGATTGTGTTCTTTAAGATTTTGCAATTTACTTTTCTAAACAATCTCTTTATTTTTATCAAGTATGTTTTTCTGTCAGCAAATGTTTAACATATGTCATGACATTGTGTGTTGTTGAGACATCAGTCTTGACTTATGTTATTGCAAGTGCCATAATTTCAATTGGCATAAAGAGCAGACACCCTGTTCTGGAACTATGGAGAAAGAAGAAGGATATATCAACATACCATCTATGTTGAATGGTTCAAACTATTACTGATGGAAGGTCACAATGGTAGCTTTTCTAAAATCTATGGATAACAAAGCTTGGAAGGCTATTTTAAAAGGATGGGAGCATCCAGTTGTGAAGGGAAATGATGGGAAATAATCTATAAAATCTGAAGCAGATTGGGATGAAAATGATGATGAAGAATCCATTAGAAATTCCAAGACTTTAAATGCTCTATTCAATGGAGTAGACAAAAATGTGTCCAGGCTAATCAATACATGTATTGTAGCCATGCATGCTTGTTAAATTCTCAAGACAACTTATGAAGATACCTCTAAAGTGAAGATTTCAAGACTTCGGCTTCTCACTACGAAATTTGAGAATTTGAAGAAGAATGATGATGAGACAATTCAAGAATATCAAATGAAGATTCTTGAAATTGCTAGTGCATCAAGTGCCTTGGGAAAGAAGATGTCAGAAGAAAAGCTGGTCAGAAATATTCTTAGGTCCTTACCTAGGAGATTTGACATGAAGTTTACAACTATTGAAAAAGCTCAGGACATCAACAACATAAGGGTTGATGAGCTTATTGGGTCACTTCAAACATTTGAATTAACTATTGGTGACAAGACTGAGAAAAAGAACAAAAGTATAACTTTTGTATCCAATGCTCAAGGTGATAAAGGTCAAGTTGAGCTGAAAACTGATGAGAATTTGTTTAATACCATCATGCTACCTGGGAAGCAATTCAATAGAGTATTGAAAAGATCGGATAGAAGAGGGAGGCCAGATGTCAAGAACGTCTCTTATGACATCAGTAACAATCTTGATTCTTAGAAGAACACAAGAACATAAGATAAGTAAAGTCAAAGAAGATGCATTAAATGTTTTGAATGTGAAGGATATAGTCATATTAGACTAGAATGTCCCAACTTCTTCAAGAAGCAACAAAAGGTTTTCACTGTATCTTGGTCTGATGGTGATAAGTCAGAAGATAAAGATAATTCTGAGACTGCCAAACTTGTGATGGCTCTATCTGGAAGATAGAAATATGAAGTTGAAGCTTATGATGAGAATGATATGTATGAAGACCTGGATGCGTCCTAGAAGGAGACTTGTGACAGGGGTGATGAAAGCCTCAAGATAGAGGAAGAACAAATGAAGATCATTGCTGACATGAAGAATGAGAGGAAGAAACTCTTAAGTATTTTGTCTCATCTTCAAAATGAGGTAACACGCTTCAATTCCAAGCTTGATAACTTGACATATTCCATAAATATGGTGAAATAGGATGAAGATGCCAGAGTTCATTATCAATCTGATAATAAACTGAGAAGAGTGTCAGAAGAAAAGTTCCTTCCTTCTGAAAGAAAGAAAAAGATCAACATGTCCAAACACATGTTACAACATTCTGGAAAATATGATGAATCTTCAAATCAACCTTAATCTACTTGGAAATGTCACTACTGTGGTGAGTCTGGTCATATAAATCCTTTCTGTTTTAAATTGTATAGAGATAAAAAATCTTCAGTTCATTCCAAGGCTAATAAAGTGAGCAAAAAGAAAAGTGTTAAAAATAGGGATATTAACCTTATAGATCATACTTCCTTGAGAGACTCAACTAGTGAAGATTGGTATTTTGATAGTGGATATTCTAGACATATGACAGGGGTCCAGAAGCTGTTGGTGGATGTCAAGCCCCATCCCACACGTTCTATAATATTTGGTGATGTGTTTAAAGATGAAATCAAATGAGTTAGTAAGCTGATGTGTGCTAAGTGTCTCAATTTAGAAGATGTGTTGTTTGTGAAAGGATTATCTGCTAATCTTATTAGTATTAGTCAACTATGTGACCAAGGTCTGTTAGTCAACTTCTCAAAATCAGAATGGATGGTCAAAGATGAAAAAAAGTTATTCTAATGAAGGGAATAAGATCCAGAGACAACTGATATTTGTGGGAATCTCAAATAATTGCTTAGTCTTCCACATGTTCAACAACCAATGAGGATGAAGTGAAGCTATGGCACCATAAACTTAGACATCTTCATTTAAAAAGAATGAAGGAATTCATATCTGAAGGAGCCATTAAATATTTGCCAAAACTCAAGATTGAAGAAGGGAAAGTTTGTGATGAGTGTGGAAGTAAGAAGCAAAGCATGATGTCACACCCAATGTTGCAACATCAGACTACTTCTAAGGTTTTTTAACTTCTTCATATGGATGTAATAGGACCATTACAGATAGACAACCTATGAGGAAAAAGGTATGTCTTTGTGGTTGTAGACGACTTTTCTGGGTATACTTGGATGCATTTTCTTAGAGAAAAATCAAATACTTTTGAAGTCTTCAAAAGTATGTGTCAAAGCATTCAAGAGGAGAAGAAAAGTGTGATTGTCAAGGCCATAAGTGGAAATGAGATGGAGTTTAAGGATACAAAATTCTCTGAAATTTTTTATTTTGAAGGAATAAGCCATGAGTTCTATTATTCATGGAAAACTCAGGGAGATGGACTTGTTGAGCAAAAGACTAGAGCCATAAAAGAATCAGCTAGAGTCATGCTTAGTGTTAAGAAATTGTCGTTTGATTTTTGGGTTGAAGCTATGAATACTGCATGCTATATTCATAATATGGTCATTTTGAGAGAAGGTATTACTACTACTACTCTCTATTAAAGCGTGAGAAAAACACAAGAATGGGGGTTGAATTGAGTTTTCTAACAAGCTTTTTTGTTTAAAAAATTATTTCGAAAACTAACTAGAAATAATAAGACTAAGGAAAGAATAAAATGTATCTTTTGGTTTATACAAGTTCACCTTCAACAAGGCTACTCTTGTCCACCAATCAAGGTGATTTTTCCTTCACCAAGGACTTAATCCACTAATCTCAACAGATTACAGATGCACATGCTACTCGCCAGTGACTCACAACAACCATCTAAGAATCTAAAAAGACACCTTAGCCCTCTCAAGTCTATAGACTAACTACCTAGTCACTTGAGGCAATAATCAATTCTAGACAAAATTATAATTAATTGTGTTTACAATATTTGCTTCTAAAAAGCATATTAACACAACAATGAAAAGCAAAGTCTCTAATACAAATAATGAGCAACAACTCTTTGTGTTTCATATCTAATATCTTAACACAATAATTAGCAACAACTCTTATGTTCTTGATATTTCTCTAGAAGAATATTTATGGATGAATATTTAAATAATGATTCTTCTTTTATCTTGACGTTTTTTTCCAGTATTTCACCAATTTTATTCAAGCTTGATAATGTTGAGTAATTCATTGTTCTTCAAATATTGTTGAGGTCTCTTTATATAGACTTTGAAAAATAGACCGTTGGTAGTACAAAAACATCATTTTCACTTGCCAGCTACAATAACGGTAGCATTTCATTATGGGAGACAAAATAGTACAACATGTAAATATGTAGTGGAATTTGAAGTGTATTATCTGTACTATATTCTTCTTGGATAAGTTTATTAGAAACTTATCTTCTGATGTTTTAATTATGGATTGAAGTTGTAAGCTTGAAAGATATCTCTTTCTTATCTTTGTCCCTTTTCTCTTCGTTGGATTGATTCTAATATGATGAATGAAGATGATCCAGAAGATGCTTCATTGTCGTAGAGTTAGAGTCTTTCAGATAGTTGAATATTGTCTCCAGTTATATAATCAATAGCTTATTTGATGAATAATGTCTTGTTTCTGAGCGAAAGCTTTTCTGATCTACACGTCTTGATCTAGTCTTTTATTTCCGATAATAACTTTTCTGAGCTGCATGTCTGATGTATAATTTCTGAAGCAGAAGCTTATGTCAATACATCTAAATTTTTTATTCATACTTTTTGATCTGATCCTTGATTCTGGACTTCTAATCTTGGATTCTGATGTTTGATTTGTGCTGGAAGCACATAACTTATGTCAGCTACTTCTTTGTTTCTGATCCTTTTCTTTTTTAATCTCGATCTTTGATGCTGAGTTGGAAGCAAAATCTTGTGCCAGCTACATCTGATTCGGACATTTTGGTTTCTGATCAAAATATCTCTCTCTGGAAGTGTATATGATTTCTGATATGAGAATGGCGCTTTTATGAAAACTCTTTTGATTCCCTTTCTGATGAACATCTATCATTCCTTAGAACTGATGATGTTTCTTTAGAAACGGTCACAATAGTTCTTCTAGTGAGTGCAATGGTGTTTCTGATGATTTCTTTATAAAGACTATCCTGAATCTTGATATTTGCACACTCAATGAAAGTATTAGAAACTATAATTGTTTCTCATCAAATATATGTGTTGTTATCTCAAAACTTTGAGATTATATTGTATACACAAATCTTGTTCTAACAATCTCCCCCTTTTTGATGATGACAAAACCATGTATTTTGATAGAACAATTTTACAGGGTTAAATCATAAAAAGAATATAAGAGTTTAAGAAACCCCCCCTAAGTTGGACGACTCCCCCTGGGATAAACAATCTCTCCCTGAATCATAAAACTATGATCTTTCAGAGTATCAAGCATTGTTATTCTTTCTGAATCTGATTATAAATTATTGATTTAACCCTTCAGCCTATCAGATTTTCAATTCTTTCAGAACATTTGAAAACATTGGAAGTTCTATATCAGAACTAAATTTATCATCAGATGCGCACAATGTTCCTGAAAAGACATTCTAAAAATTTTGCATATATGATTTTGTCTTGTTAGAATGCAAGCAATGTGATTTCAGAGATATAGGTATGTATCAAAATCATCACTACTTTCTCCCTCTTTTTGTCATAATAATTTTTTTATTAAAATCTAAGTATTTTAAGCACAAACGAAACAACTTTTCATTGATGATTAAGATATTACAATGAAAACAAAATAGAAAAACACAAGGAAGGTGAGACTAGACACTTCTTAATACGATCCAAAGAATTCACATCTTTCTTCTACAAGAGCATTTTTTGGTCCATTCATTCGAATCAATCCAACCAAATTTGATTTATAGAATAGTTTAGAGAGAACTCTTCCATAAGGTATGAAGCACTTGTTTCGACTTATGGAGATTACTGAATCAACTAGAGAAATAATCAAACAACGAAGTCGCCATAGAATATTTATTTATCCCACAAAATAGAAAGGAAGGCATCAAAGAAAACCTGAGAAAGGAGAAATCAAGGTTTTACGACCAAGAGGATGGGTACGAGAGTCGATTACGCAAGGGGAAGGTATTAGCACCCATCACGTCTGTGGTACTCCATGGGATCCACTCAAGTTTTTCTAATCAAAGGGTGTGTCAAATCTAAAGCTAACAAGCTAAGGGAACATGCATGAATGCAAAGTATATACACAAAAAGAAAAGTTTTTATTATTGCGCCCATCGCGGTTGTAAATCTTTGTGCCTACGTACCCTCTTCATGCAACGAGAGATCAGGGAACTCGTAGTTCACCTAAAAAGGTGTTTTAGATTGTTTGCATTTTTAGCCAGATAATGTTACATTCGTACTCTAGCAGTTGACATATTGCAACCCAACCTTTGGGGACTTATGCATCGTTTTACGCAGAATGGAAATAACACATCCTTTTTGTGAAACGATTTTCATAAGGCCCGAAGGAAAAAGAGTTTGAATTTATTGAGTGTTTTTGTTGGGATAATAGAAAATGGATCCCACTGGAGGAACACTCACTACTTATCCACTTATTTGCAAAAGAGTTTGAGATTTGAACCACATTAAAGACTATGATTGAAATGAAATACAAGTTTTGGTCTGTACCGCCCCATACTTCTCCTAATACTTAAGAAGTTTTAGTTTTAAAGATGCAAAAGGGGAATGAAGAATTCCAAGGGAGACTAGAACCCTAATGTTATCATGCAATGGTGGTTCTAAAGTTAGGATAAAAGGGAAAACATCTACCTAAGTTAGCATGCAAATATGAACCTATGATTAAGGTTAAAATGAGCGACCTAATGTTATCATGCTTGATTTAGAACCTAAGGTCTATTCAGTTCACATCTTAAAGAGGATGGAACAAAAATACTAAGGGAACATGTTATAACAAGCAAATGACAAAGAAACAAACATGAGTATAAACCTCAAAAGATATGGCTTAAGAGCCAAGCAAACGCCTAAGTGTAAGAATCATACATCAATGAACAAGTACAAACCAAAAAGAGCCTAAACTCTAACATGCCTCAAGACATCAATCACAAAGTAAGAATATGTATAAGTAATGACTCAACACACACACTAGGGTCCCCTAAGGGTCATGCTCAAATGGTCCCACCTTAAGGCATTACAAACCAAACATAAGCAATTAACAAACACACGAGCACTCAGGGCTCTAAGTGTCAAAAAAACATCAAAACTTAGTAAGAAAAGATGAAGTGAAGAAAACAAGGTAAATACCTATAAAAGTAAACAAGTATACCTTAAAAGGTTCATACAAATGTTTCTCAAATATGGGAGAAATAACACACGAGGATCACACAAAGGAGACAAGAAAACAAGTACTTGAGCAAGTAAAGAAGAAAAGCAAACAAACAATGATTGACCAACCAAAGAATGCATATTATGAAAGTATATCAAACAACTCAAAGCTACTGCCCCTAACATGTTATCATATTAATTATATCCTAAACAAGGCAACATAAGGCAAGAAGAAGATGAAATCACCTAACTAGGCAAATAGAAAAGCAAATAAGCAATTAGAAGTCACAAATTCAATAATGTCCAAGAAAGAAAATAAGAGATAAGAGGTATACACCTAATCCTAAGCATGTTTTAAAAAATATCAATACATCATAAAAGGTCTCATGTTATCAAACATCACTTATCACACACACTTACCTAAGCATGGCAAAGAAGGACAAAATCTTCTCAAATAAGTTGCAAATGAAAGGGTTAGATCATGAAGCATGTTATCAAGCATTTGGAGGAAACTACTTCACATCAATGTGACCATAAAAAAATGTTATCTAACCCTAAGGGTAATGTGTAAGAGGTTTAAGAATTAAGGAACACAAGAGAAGGAAAACATCTAAGCATACAAGCAAGTAAAGCTCTATGTGTCAAGTACCTAATTTATCATGGCATAAGAAGGTGATGTGAAATGAAAGGGATAAAAAGTAATAAAAGTCAGCGGAAAAGGTATCAAGGACTTACAATTATCACATAAACATTCTTAAGAAAGATTCACAATCAAATCATACAAGAAAAAGTAAGCAGACAACCTTAAGTGGACACAAGTCCTTATGCAATGTTGTCAAGCAAAACAAATTGAAAGAGAAGGGACGTGGGAAGAGGGAGAGACAAGCATGTACATGTTAATCAATTATCACAAGTATCAAGAGCATACACAAGTTTAAATAAGAGTTTAATCCAAGGTACAAACATTAAAGCACACAAACAAACAAAAGTCGACAATTGAAGTGAATTGTTCTAACAAGTGGTGTGAGCAAATAAGCATGGAATTAAGCATCTAAATAAGAAAAGACATGTGAAAAATACACAACAAGCACCTATAAACATCCATAAGGAATCATACACATGCACATTTAAAGATAGAAGAAAGAAGTGGTCAAAACCAAAGCCTAACATGCTCCTAAAGGCACATAAGCATCAAACAAGGTATAGATAAAGAGGGATCATAGTAAGGGGGTATAAAACTATACAAGTCAGGGGAAATGAAATTTTAGATCAATCATTCAGGTATCACAACTAACAATGAAAGATAGCATGAGAAGCTTCAAGACAAAACACCAAAACTAGGCAAGTAAGCATATTAAACTTCACACAATTGTAAACACAATCAAAGGTGCATAAAAGGAACTATAAAATGAAGTGAGAAGTCCTTAACTCAAGGTATTTCAAGTTAACACAAGTGGGAAACAAGATCCCTAATGGTTGCATAAGTGCATCCCTAAACATTAAACTTTGCACACAAGTATCAAAATAATTAGGCAAGCATTGAATTGCACATGAAAAATAGTTAGAAGCTTGGAAAAATTATGAAAAATTAAACATGGTAAGGTGAAGTCAGAGGCTCAATGGACTCTAAAAATGTGCCTAAGGAAAAGTGCAAAAGGTGTTCAAACAATATCAAACATTAAGCAAAGCACAAAGTATTGATCACACAAATTTAGCTTCAAAATTAAATAAAAATAATGATAAAGGCATCAAATGTGTGCTCAAATGGCCTACATACATGTGGCTATATGTGTTTGAAATTTGGGATCAAGAATCAAAGGGAATCATAAAGAATAAAACCCTAAATCACAAATTAGGTCAATTAAACACACTTGAATCATAAAATCATAAACAGTTAGAAAATTAATTCAAAAATGAAATTAAAAACTATAGAAAATCAAATAAAATGTTAAAAAACATTCATGAATTTTTTAGTTATTTTTGCATAATTGGAACTAATTAAATAAAATTAGAAATGAAAAGGAAATAAAATAAAATAATATGAGAAAATAAAAAGAAATAAAACACTCAATGAAAAGCGCTACAAAAACTAAATTCCAGATTCAATCAAAAAGAGACACACACATTGGGGGGACCACCCGAGTCATTGTTTTCATTTTCCGATTTGATTATAGAATGTCTTACTTTCAAATAACATTTTATGTGGTACACACTTATCAATTGGACAACATCATTTAAATGAATAAAACAAAAGAAATGGCCAGCCAATCAAAAAATGACACATTATCTTCTTCAACCTTTATCACTTTAACAAAACCAGCAAACACAATGGTTTCATGCCTTAGAATCAACTTCAACATCCAATCTTCAGACAACAACATCTCTCTCATTTCTCTATGAAATCACGCGAAATTAAAAGCAAAATTGTAGATCTAAGTGCAAGGAGCACAACCTTCAGAATTAGAACATGAAATGATGAACCAATAATGGAGAAAATTTGCATGAAAGTCACGAATTTAACACACATTTCAAATATTCAAGAACTTGCACAAGCTCAGATTCAAGCAAACAAATCAGGCCATACATTTCAGGCACTCAGATGCAACGTGTATGATCCCATCATGGAATTTTTAGATCTAAAAATGGATAGAAATAAGGTATAGAAATTTACCAAGTGGAAGATGATCCACTGCCTTCTTCACTTCCAT